ATAGGAGACGCCCTGTGCGGAGGCTATAGGGCAGAAAACTCCATGCCTGGAGTGGAAAGAATCTTCACAGAAGTCCATTCAGCTGCCAGCATGCTACTGTGTGTAACTCCCCAGTGATAACTCTTGTGCCAGGGAAAGATTTATGTGCATGGACTCAACATCGGAGGCTCATAGCCTAGAGGCGGCTCTATCTCTTGTTGCAACTCCATGAATATAACAGTAGGTGCTCATGCAAACTAGCCAAGCCAAACCCTAGTGAGCCAACAGCACAAAATAGAACTGCCTCATAAGGTTTATCTTGCAAAAAGCCTGGTGACTTGGAACCAAGGACTTTCTGGTTCACAGCCCAGCACTAAGCCTCACACCACCAAGGCACTTCAAATTAGCTATCACGGGTCATTATTTATCATGATCAATATTCCTTACCAACACAGCTGACACCTTGCTTGTGTTAGGTTTCTTAGGAAACAGAGCTGGAAATATAAACCCAGAGTCAACCTTGTTAGAGGGAGAGATTTTTTGTTAACATGTTAATGTTAGCCCCAGTACTGCATACAATTGTATTGTTGTTCTTGTCAGGTGCCATCCAATCAATTCTGACTCACATTGATCCTATATACTGCAGAATGAAACACTGCCGGCTCCTACCTCATCCTAACAGTCACTGCTATGTTTGAGCTCACTGTTGCTGCCTGCAGCTACCATGTCAATCCATTTTACTGAGGAGAATTGCTTTTTTGGCTGATCTTTTACTTTACCAACCACAATGCCCTTCTCCATGGATTGGTTCCTCCTGATACGATGTGCCAAGCGTAGGAGGCAAAGTCTCCCAATTTTGCCTCTAAGGAACATTCTGGCTGTACTTCTTACAAGACTGATTTGCTTGTTCTTCCAGCCATCCGTGGTATAGTTTTTTTCCACCCCACCACGATTCAAAGGCATCAGTTAATCTTAGGGCTTCCTTATTCATTGTCTAGCTTTACATAATGTTGGGGTGTGTATTAGTCTGGGTACATGAAAAAAAATGTATTAGTCTGGGTACTTTGGAGAAACAAATCCACAGCAACTCATGTATAAGAGAGTTTTATGTAAATGATGTGTAGCCAAGGAAATCTGATCAAAGACCG